TTCCTTTTCTGTGCAGATGTTTTTAAATTTGATATCCTCCCATTTATTGATTGTTGGTATTATTTGTTATGCCATTGAGGTTCTGTTCAGAAAATCCTTGCCTACATCTATGTCTTCAACAGTTGTACATATTTTATCTTCCAGAAGATTAAGTGATTCTGTTTTCACATTTAGATACTGATCCATTTTTATTTTAGTTTAGTACATGGTGAGATATATAGGTTTAGACTTAATTTTCTGCATGTGGATATCCAGTTTTCCCAGCACATGTATTAAAGATGCTGTCTTTCAACCAGTTTATGTTTTTGGCTCCTTTGTCAAAGATCAAATAGCTCTATGTGCCTGGGGTTATTTGTGCTTCTTGTATTTTGCTCCCTTGATCCACATGCCTGTTTTTGTGTTGGTACCATAATATTTTAGTCACTGTAGCTTTATAATATAATTTCAAGTCTGTGACTGTGATGCCACCAACTTTACTTTTGTTGCCTAGAATTACTTTTGCTATTCTGGGTCTCTTAAGATTCCATACAAATTGTTGGATTGTTTTCTCTAACTTTGTGTGAAATGCCATTGGTATTTTGATTGGGATTGCATTAAATCTGTATATCAGTTTTAGAAGTATAGTCAGTTGATTATATTGTTTTTGCCTATCCAGGGGATATCTTTCCATTTTCTGATGCCTTCCTCGATTTCCTTTTTCAGAATGATGTAATTTTTGTTTTATAAGTATTTCATTTCATTAGTTAGGTAAATACCTAAGTATTTAAATTTTTTGGATGCTATTGTGAGTGGCATTACTTTCATAATTGCTTTTACAACAAGATCATTATTAGTGTATAGGAGTACTGAGTTTGGTTATTCATTCTAGGAGTCTTTTGGTGGAGTTTTTTGGGTCTTCTATGTAAAGGGTCCTGTCATCTGCAAATAATGATACTTTAACTTCATCCTTTGCTACACACATCCCTTTTATTTCTCTTACTTGATTACTCTGGCTAATATTTTCAGGACTGTGTTGAACAGGAGAGGTGATAATGGACATACTTGTCTTGCTTCTGATTGTAAGAGGGAAGGTTTTTCAGTTTTTCACAATTTTAATATGATGTTATCAGTAGGTTGATTACAAATGGCTTTTATCATGTTGTGATAAAGACCTTTTGTACCCATTTTCTTTAGTTTATGGGTCTCTTTTATTTTAAATCATGATGTCAGACATTGTCAAAGGCTTTTTCTGTATTGTCTTGGTTACTTTTGTTGCAGAGACAGAATACCTGACACCCAGTATTAAGGAAGGAAAGGTTTATTTAGCTCACAGTTTAAGGAGGTTTCAGTCCATACTCAGCTGGCTCCAAGGCAGAGTGGCATATGGCAGAGGGCAACAGTTTATGGTGGCAGCGGAAGACAGCGAAAGCAACAGGAGCAAAAGGGAGGAGTGGGCAGAGAGAGCAAATTACTTTCCCTTCCTTATATTGTATGCAAACCACCCACCCCAGGGAGGTGCAGCGCTCACACCCATAAGCCCATCATTGGATCATGGATCAATCATAAACTCTAAAAGCCCACCCCCGGAATGCATGAAACTTTGGGGGGACATCCAGACACAAACCATAACATGCATATATTGAAATAAGCATGTGATTTTTGTCCTCGCTTCTGTTTATATGATGAATTACATATATTGATTTATGTGTTGAACCATCCTTGCTTCCCTGGGATGAGGCCTGTTTGGTCATGGTATATGATCTTTGATTCATTCTGTTTGCCAGTATTTTGTTAAAGATTTTTATATCTTTGTTTGTTGGAGAAGTTGGCCTATAGTTCTCTTTTTTTGGTTGGATCTTTGTCTGTTTTGTGGTCAGGATAATGTTAGCTTTCAAGAGTGAAAGTACTTTTGGAAGTACTCCCTCTCCCAATTTCATTAAAATGTTAGACGAGTATTGATGTTAGTTTCCTTGAAATTCTTGTAGAAATTGGCTGTGAATCTTTCAGATTCTGGACTTTTCTTAGTTGGTAGTTTTTTGTTTGTTTTGTTTCTGCTTTAATTCACTGCCTATTATTAGATTGTTCAAGATTTTTAAATCTTCGTTCAGTTTTGGCAAGTCATATGTATCTAGGAATACGTATGTATCATAGGAATATGTATATGAATATGTATCAAGTCATATGAATATGTATCAAGTCATATGTATCGTAGGAATCTCTCCATTTATTCTGATTTCCCAATTGTTTGGCATGTATATTTGTGAAGTAGTTGCTAATAATTTTCTGGATTTCAGCAGTGTCCATTGTGATTTCATCTTATTTCCAGTTGCATTGATTTGCATCTTTTCCTTTTTTTAGTAAGATTAGCTAAAGGTCTGTTTTGTTTATTCTTTCAAAGAACCAGTTCTTTGATTCATTGATTCTTTTTATTTCTTTTTGGTTTCCATTTCATTAAATTTTGCTCTGATCTTTATCATTTACTTCCTTGTGCAAGTTTTGGGTTTGGATTGTTCTATTTTCCTGATGTGGACATTCACTGCTGCAAATGTCTTTTGTAGGATGGTCTCACTATGCAGTTCAGGCTCGCCCTGAACACACTATAGCCCAGGCTGGCCTCAGACTCAGTGATTCTCCTGTCCTGGCTTCCTGCATGCTGGGTTTACAGGCATGTGCCACCATGCCTGGCTCAGAGTGTGTTCATTGTATCCATAAGTTCTGGTGTGTTGTACTGACTATCATTTAATCCTGGGAACTATCATATTTCTTCCTTAATTTCTTCTGTGACCCATTGATTTGAATAGAGTATGTTGTTTAATTTCCATCTTCGCATAGTTACTTTCTTATGCTCTTGATTTCTAGTTTCATTGCATTGTGATCTGATAATGTGCATAGCAAAATTTCTGTTCTTTAGCATTCACTTAGGCATGCTTTATTAGCTAGCACATGGTATATTTTGAAGAAAATATCATGTGCAGCCCAAAGGAATGTGAATTCTGTTGGTGTTGGGTAAAACACTGTATACCAAGTACCTGACTTACAAACAAATTCTCTTCCTGAACATTTGTAATACGGATTCATTTGTAAGTCTTAACAAAGTGAGTCTTACACACCTTTGACGCAAATACACAATGTGAAGCATAAAAAAACCAAATATGAGGTCCATTTGTGTCTATGAAAGTTTACAACTCAAATGTTTGTAAATCAGGGACTTTTTGTGTATATATATATATATATATATATATTTTATGTATGATATATATATATATTTCTTTTTTTTTTTTGTCTTTTTGAAACAGGGTCTCACTATGCAGTTCAGGCGGGCCTTGAACTCAGTTTGTAGCCCAGTCTGACCTCAAACTCACAGCAATCCTCTGCCTCAGCCTCCCAAGGGCTGGGATTACAGGCATGCACTGCCATGCCTGGCCTGGTTATATCCTTTTAAAATTTGCCAAGTACCTTATTGATGCGTTTTACCTCAATTGGTACCCTTTCAGACCTGTCTGCTATGTAGCTTATAATTTCCTCCACATCCATGCCCCCTGAACCAGTTTTAGGGAGTTGGGAGTTTTTGGAGGCCTTGTCTTTTCATATTTCTGGTTTTTGTACAAATTCTTTGACCCAGTGCTGAATTCTTCAGGAGTGAGCCACAGTGTGTTTCTGACCCCTAGGCAATCCAGATACTGGCATAGAGAGAAAACCAATTGCCAGCCACTATGATGTTACCTTGGCTATAGTAGGAAACAGTGGCATCACATTTCAACTGGTTGTTGACAAATCCTAGGAACCATTCATGAACAGCCCACAACCAGAACAAAGAGGACTGTGATTTATGTGAAGACAGTGAGGCTACCCTTATATTGGCCTACAGTAGTTCAGACCACTAATTTTGACTGTATGTAAGCGGCAGTACCAGAGTGTAAATATACTAGACTAAATGCCCTCTTCTTCCGGACTGCCCTTCAGATTATTACTCTCACTGAACTTGGCCTCCCATGACACAGTTCAGGCCTGCTGATCTTCCTGGTCTGAGCCTGGGCCTCCCAGTGGATCCCAGCAGATCCCTATTTAGCTCTCATCCTTTCTAAGCCTCTCTCTCAAGGCTATTTCTTTCTCAGTCTCTGGAGCAGGGAAGATACTACTTCAGTCCTGAAGCAAAACTGTCCTCCTGGGTGTTGTTGAGATCTGTAGGTTGGTTGTTATCTGTGTTGACCTGTGCTATGGAGAGTCCAGAGACTGGAGGCAGGGCACATGGTTCTGGTCTTCCTGTTTTGGACCAGGGCCAGACAGGCACTGGTGTTGGCTGGGGGCAGGTCACATGGTTCCTGGGTCCTCCTGGCTCAGCAAGGGACCAAGAAATTGGGACCAATTTCTATTCTTTTAGATTCTGTGTAATTCTTCCTGTTTTAATGAAGGGCTTCATGTCAATTTGCATATTATTCATTCGTTCATTTATTATTAATTTGTGTGTGTGTGTGTGTGTGTGTGTGTGTGTGAAGTGGCAGTTGAACCCAGAGAGTGTTTCATAAACAAAATCTGTTTGTCCCTTTTTTTTGTATTTTTTTTTTTTTTGTACCAAGAATCGAACTCAGGACCTTCTGCTTGTCAGGCAAGCACTTGTGCCGCTGACCTGAATCCCCGGCTGTCCCTTTACTTTGTATACCCTGTATTCCCTGGATATATTTTCCAAGGTTGGATAATCTTCCAAGATAGAATTTTAACTTTTTTTTGGCAGTGATGCTAGCAACTACCTCTTGATGATATAGAAGGAACTCAGTAACAATGAAGACTACTGACTGGCCTAATGTTCAGTAGATGTTAATTTTTGCCTTTAATGGTAGTAGATTATTATAATTTAATCATATATTTAGAACATACATGATTCTGTCTCAGTTTTGAGTAGAAATAAGAAAATACATTTATTATAATATATGCTATATATTATATTATGTAATATAATATAAATATAATATTTATATGTAATATAAATATACAACGTATATATACTGTGTTTTGCCTGACAGATAGCAGCTGATGAACCTCCTCCAGAAGGATGTAATTCATTTTTCTCAGTGCATGGAGAGAAGACTTGTAATTTTGATGTCCTGGAGACTCTTCTAATAACAGCACCTGGAAGGTAGGTTGTGTGTTTCTTCATTTAAATGTCATGGCCAGATGTGGTGGTACATGCCTGTAATCTCAGCACTCAGAGGCTGAGGCAGGAGGATTGCTGTGAGTTTGAGACCAGCCTGGGCTACAAAGTCAGCTCAAGGCCAACCTGAAATGCGTAGTGAAACCCTGTCTCAAAAAGACACCCCCCCCCACTAAAAAAAATGCCAAGTGTCTCCTTGCCCTTTTTCGGTAGTAAGTCTACCATCTGATTTTTCTTATCTCTTTTGTAGTCTTAGCTGCAGTAGTGTAGAGTATGGATTCTGGATTCAGAGTGAATAGATGTGCATCTGACCTCCATCACTTAAAATAGTTTTGTGAAATGGAACAAATTACTTTCTTTCCTTTTCTCTCAAATGGAGATAGTAAGAGTATTTGATGTTCTATTAATTTAGTAATGACTTTATCTGTGAGATTAAGTCAGCTTTGTTATTAATTTAGCAAGGAATACTGTGTGTATGAAAGCCAATGCCTGAAGTAATGATCTTAATGATAATGTTCTGTCAGAGTGTTAATAGATTCAAAGAAGCCAATTTGAATAGTAATTGTAAGCTGATTCAAATATAAAATTGGTATTTTATGAGTTAGGTGCTTTTTGCCTGAAGAGCTGTATATTTCCTGTGGTGGATAGCTGTAATAGGTGTCTGCTTTGCTGTTTGGCTATAGCAGCAGCTCCTTTGTATCCCCTCTAAAGCTACTATGTATATAATGTGCCATAGATAGGAGAAATGCTAATGGAATTTTCTTGGTATAAATCTTCTTTAGGGATAGTAGCTGCCTAATATGTGTCCTCTGCTCCTCAAATGGCATTAGTGTCCCTTCCTCAGGCTGACAACTGATAAATACAGCTTATGTGCCAGCCAGCAGTGAACACTTGAGAGTAGTGCTATGGTTGAATCATGCTTTTTTCGGGGGAGCAAAAGTGATGACTTTGTAATTCTTTAAAACTTTACTACAACAACAACCACCTGGATCTTGATAAAGAAAAGAGCACTGATACCATCTTTCTGGGAGATAGCTACTCCTTTTTAATATGTTGGCATTTATCCTGTTAGAGTTTGTTCTTGGTTTTAAATTCACAGGTAGGTAGGTTTATTTTTGCAAGAGGCAACATTTCATTTAGCACATGTAGCTGCACCTCAGTATTTTTAATACATACATAGTAACCTATGTAAGAATAAAGTACTGGTGGCTTTTTAGATCCTTTCAACCCTTTTGCTTTTTATTTTTTGCTATTATAAGGCTATAATGGACATCTTTGCCATCTGTCAAATTGTTTATCATAGTAGATGTTGGTAGGTCACACATCAAGATCCATTAAAATCTTTTTTTTTTTTTTTGGTACCAGGAATTGAACTCAGGACCTTGCGCTTGCCAGGCAGGCACTGTGCCACTGAGCTATATGTGTGGCCCGATCCATTAAAATCTTGATGTCACCCAGAGAAAGTTTTTTTTTGTTTGTTTTTTGAAAAATTTAAAAATTATGAGAAAAGCTGAAATGTTACAACAGCTAGTGAGCACATCATAATAGTAAAAAGATAAAGCTGGGCATGGTGGTACATGCCTGTAATCCCAGCACACAGGAGGCTGAGGCAGGAGCATTTCTGCTGAGGCTACAAAGTGCGTTCAAGGCCAGCTTAAACTGCATAGTGAGACCCTGTCTCAAAAGAGACAAAAAAAAATTAAAAAATAGTAAAAATGGTAGAAGAGAGACCTACTGCAATTAGTAATTTATATACTGAAAGTCATCCTGTGCTCTGCATTATTTGTACTTATGTTTCAGATAAGAGGATAATCATATTTTACATGGTTAAAAAATGCTGTAGGTTTAGTACTGTGAGATTTGGATATGTATTCTTATTCTGCCTTGGTTTTTCTTTTACTAGGAATTGTGAACAATTTTTGATACAAGTCTCCATTTTATAGTCAATATATTTTTTTTTTTGTTTTGTTTTGTTTTGTTTTTCTCCGGTACCAGGAACTGAACTCACGACCTTGCGCTTGCCAGGCAGGCGCTTTTGCCGCTGAGCTAAATCCCCAGCCCCCTATAGTCAATATTTACGTAGTGTACTTTTAGTTTTTATAGCCATGAATAAGACTCACATGGCAATGTGAGTGAAAACTATTTTAAGGCTGTGATACACTTTATATTAAGATACTTGTAATCTTAAATTATCATAGCTATACTCAACATTTTGTCTGATTTGTTTTTTAGTATTTAAATTTTCTTATGTTGAAAAATTACAATATTTGTAATATTTATTTCCAGACCCAAACCTTTATTGTTCAAAGGAGATCACAGATATCCCTCATCTAATCCTGAAAGCCCAGTGGTGATTTTCTACTCTGAGATAGGCCTTCAAGAATTTTCTAGTTTCCACCACCAACTTGTATCGAAAAGCAATGCAGGCAAAATCAACTATATATTCAGACATTATATATCTGTAAGTATTGACTTACTTTACAACTGTTTTGAATATTAACTTGCCCAGCATGACCTTAGAATATCAGCTAATAATTTCCCTCTGTTTGAAATAATTTAGTTATTTGAACTACATTTTAGAGAAGTTCAGTACTTTTCATTAGATCTAAAATGCTTGCCTTTCTGAAGAAATGTGAATTATACTTGAGAAGTGGCCTAATTTTCCTGGGGCTGGTGGTACACACCTGTAATCCCAGCACCTCGAGTTTGAGGTTTGCCTGGACTACCTAGTGAGTGCAAGGCGAATCTGAACTACACAGTTAGATGCTGTCCCCCTCCCCGCAAGGCCTAATTTTATTTCTTTTTTTTTTGGTCTTTTTGAGACAGGGTCTCACTATGCAGTTTGGGCTGGCCTTGAGCTCACTTTGTAGCCCAGGCTGGTCTTGAAGTTGCAGTGATCCTCCTGCCTCAGCTTCCCAAGTGCGGGGATTACAGGTGTGCACCACCATGCCCAGCTTGTCCCTACATCCTTTTTTTAAAATTTTATTTCAAAATGAACTATATATATATATAGTGTCTTCTAAATTTAATGATAATATGGAATTGATGCTTGAATTCAGTTTCTTTTCAAACCTTTTTGTTTTTCCCTTTTTTGTTTTTGGCACCCATTCATTTGGTGCCATTTCTAAAAAGACGTAAAATCAGGCAGAATTGATTTAGAATTAAACTTGTCACACTTAGCATTTAGAATATTATATAAAGATTATTAGCCTTTAAAGTTTATGTACCATAGTAAGTTCAGTAAATAGGTGCTTAGACTGTACAAGTCAAAAAATTTACATGGCAGTTTGAATGAGCAGAAACAGATTTTTCAAAGTCTAGTTTTTGAAAATGCCTCTTTTCCCTCAGCCCTCCAGGCCCATAGCTAGTATTAAAGGTTAAAATTTAAGGGCCATCATCATTTAGGATGGTGGTGAGACTATGATACATGGACAGCCTCATCCCAACAAAGCAATTCAGTTTTCAGATTTGCTCTGTATGATCTGCACCTTCTTTTTGTCATTCTGTATGTCTTCATATGGTTTGGAACTGTTACCTTTCAGCCATCCATTCTGAAAAATGTTAATTTAGCTTCTACCTGGGAATTCTCATTTCCACAGTTAGGACATGATACAAAATGTAAACAAAACTAGAATTTCTTCTGAGAGATAAACAAATTTTGAATTAATATTTTAAAAAATAGATTGAATATTTTAATAGCAGGTGAGTGCTGTTATTATTGTTGGTGTTTAGTAAATTCTGTTGCATACATAGTATCTGTAAAACATGATATTTTGATTGCACAACCCCAGATGATGTCTGTTAGATGCAGTGTTGACAAGCTGTGTTGAGTACTTTCTGACCTGTAAGAAGTTAGGCGATGATGACAGAATAATTGCTCTACTTGCAGAATCCCAGGAAGGAGCCAGTTCACCTCTCTGGCTACGGTGTGGAATTGGCCATTAAGAGCACTGAGTACAAGGCCAAGGACGATACTCAGGTGAAAGGTGAATTTGTAAAAATAAGACCAATGAGTTAAAGGGGAATTTGTTTCCATAATGAAAAAAAACAGATTTAGGAGAATGATGAGCCTGTGCCTGAATCTATTCTGTTTTGTTTTCTGAACTTGAAACAGTTTATTATGGGTTCTAACACTGTAGAGTTTTTTTTGTTTTGTTTTGTAATTTGTTTTCTTTTCCACTTATTTTATTTATATTTTTTATTTAATTTATTTTTTAATCAGATTTTGTTGGTACATTTTAGATATAGATAATGATCATATTCATCATAGAGAATTCGTACCTGTACATGATGTCTTTTTTTTCCCATTCCTCTACCTCCTTTAACCTCTCCTCTCTTCCCTTCCCCATTTACAAAACTTTGTTTCCATGTTTTCTTCCTTTTCTCATGTTTTTAATTTTTTATTTTTCTCTTCTTTCCTTTTCCCCTCTGCTTTCCCTTGTTGCCCTCCCCATTTGAACATTTGCTTCCTATTTCACAGTACCTATTTTACGTTTTGGTCCTTATTTACACTTTCTGTTTCTCACACCAGAGAAACTATACGGTATTTACATGTGTGTCCAATTACCATAAAGTTTTTAATTCATTATATTCATCTTTATATGCTTTTATATTTCTTCCTTTTAAACTCATTTTAAACATAAAAATGATCAGTTTGGGTAATGAAACAAATGGATAATAAGCTAGTAGTACCCCATCATCTTTTTTTCCCCCAATAGTTATACTTAGGATTAAGTTACCTAACTGCATAGTGTTTAGAATTTTGTTTTTGAAAAACCCTTTTTGCATGTTAAAAACTATTAATTTAGAAATGTTTAGCTTGTAAAATTTTCTGAAGTTTAAGAGAAAAATACATTCTTGCTGAGCATACTATAATCGCAGCACTCTGGGAGTTTGAGGATGTAGGATTGCAAGTTTGAACCCAGCCTGGACAATTTAGTAGTTTAAGGAGGCCTTCTTTCAAAATAAAAAATAAAAAGGGCCAGGGATCTTAGATCAACATTAAGTCTCTGCGTTCCGTACCTACTACCATTAAAATAAACAAACAAAAACAATGAAATCCGTTCTTCTCTTGTACAGAAACACAGGCAATGTTAAAACACTTTTATTTTAAAGACCTACTGCAAAATGTTAATTAAATGGCATTAAAATTTCAGGTGTTTCTGATTTTTTAAAATATTATTCAAATGTTACGAGGTTAAAACATGTTCATTTCTAATCTGATCCATTAGACATGTATTTTTACTATGTTTTTATAGGAACTGAGGTAAATACTACAGTCATTGGTGAAAATGATCCCATCGATGAAGTTCAGGGATTCCTCTTTGGAAGGTTAAGGTAATGATATATTCTATTTATTTTGGAAGATGCCCTTTAATCTCCAGGCCTCCTTGCATTCCTAGCATTATGTTCCCCATTACTGTTACGGATCTATTTTTTTTTTTTTTTTTTTTTGTCTTTTTTGAGGCAGGGTTTCTCTATGCAGTTCACACTGGCCTTGAGCTCACTTTGTAGCCCAGGCTGGTTTTGAACTTGCAACGATCCTCCTACCTCAGCCCCCCGAGTGCTGGGATTACAGGTGTGTGCTACCACGCCCATCTAACGGCATTTATATATGTAAATCTAACATGGAGAAATACCACTTTTTATTATAAGGTTTGTATTTTCAGTTATTCTAAAAAGATGTTCTTTTCTTCCTCATGCTTGCTTTGCTTGTGTTGTTTTTGTAGTGCTGGGGAGGCAACTCAGGGCCTCGTGTGTGCTAGGCAGGCGTGCTATCAATGAGTTGCATCCCCAGCCCTGAGCACATGACCTTGTGTCCTGCCTGTGGCCTAAACTGATTACATTTTTCTCTCAATTAATGGCATAAAGTTGGATGCTGGTTTTTTTTTATTGAATAATAGGATAAGTCAACTTGTTTCATTTAATTTTTTTCTCAGGAGAAAGAATAGATTTTAAATTGAGTAGTCCTGGTTATTTGTTTAGTCTATGAGTTTTTCTTTTTCTTTCTTTTTTTTTTGGTACAGGGAATTGAACTCAGGACCTTGCACTTGCCAGGCAGGCGCTGTGGCACTGAGCTGTATCCCCAGCCCCATTTATTTAGTCTAAACATCTGAAAAGAATGCAAAATATGTAGTAGATATCTTACAGCACAGCTCAATTAAATGTTTTATTATTTTATTATTTTTTATTATTTTAATTTTTTATTAAACTGTATTTTTTCTGGTCCTGGACATTGACCCCAGAGCCTTACACTTGGCTCTGCCAACCTTCATCACCAGTCCCCCTTTGTTTTTCTTTAATTTTCTAACCCCAAGTTGCCCAGACTGGTGTCAAACTTATGGTCCTCCTGCCTCATTCTCCCAAGTAGCTGGGATTACAGATGTGCACCATTGTATCTGGCAGGGAATTGAAAATATTTTTAATGGTGGAAATTTTAAAGTTTCATAGTTCTATAACCATTGTATAAAAGTATTACAGTATTTTGTAGGTAAAAAAAATCTTAGCTGTTATTTTAAATGGTGTAGTTATTGCAGTCATGTCTTGATAATTATCAGAGCCCTGGATTCTTTTTTATCTGGAAATTTCATCTAGGACATCTGTGGTATGCTTTTATTATTTATTTTGAATAGAATACATTTGTATGTAAAGAGTATATGCTTGGCTCAGTTTTATACATTTCATCCCTGACATTTGGCTGAATGAGATCATTTAACCAGATTAATACTTAAGTGATGTTTTAGTTCAAGTTGCATTGCTCTTGACATGTTGAATTAGTTCTGTGCATATGTACGTTTCTTATTTATTAGCAGATTCTATTTCATGTATTTATATATTTGCAGTACTGGGGATTGAACCAAGGGCCTTCCCAGTGAGCTACATCTCCAGCCCTTTATTTTTATTTTTAAAATTTTGAGAGCAGGTCTTGGTAAATCACTGAATTGCCTGATGAGGCTCAAACTTGCCATCCTTGTGGCTCAGCCTCTCAGAGTGCTGAGGTCACCACCACACAGCTCCGCATCAGCCTTGACCTCATTACTGTGTGACCAGGTACCACTTTTATCGATCCACATTTTTAGAACCCCTTTCTATATTCATGTTTGTAGAGTTTTTTGATAGTTGATTTTATGCATTTCAATATAAATACATGATGTATAATATTGAGGACATTTTGCTTTAGGACATTCAAAATAGTTCATTTATTTAGCTATCCAAAATAATTGGATCATTTTGGGTGTTTTATTATGGAAGCCATTTTGGTAACTGAGTTGTTTGGAAAGTGAGGGACCAGAGTAAATATTTGCATTAGCTGTGGGTTACACAGAGCTCATCTCCCAGCCATCTGTCTGGTAGACCTAAATGTTACAAATCTCTTTCTCTGGTAACTATTTTACTACTTTCAAATGGGTTGTATTCTATTTCAAGATAAAACCTCACAACTATGGTTAACTTAAATTATGCTCATGTAACTAAAGAATTAGTGAGCATGTAGGCTGACAAATTCATCTTGGGACTGGTAGCGGTTGCTTTTTGCAGTTTTATTTTTAGATTTAAAAAATACTCATGAAAAATATAGAGAATAATGTATACCTATGTGCTTACTACCCATAATAGACTATTGGTCTATTTGTTATTTGCTATCCCAAAGAATTATTTATCAAGTTTTCTTTTTTTCCCTAACATAAGGTTTCTTCTCTTTTTTTTTTTTTTTTTTTTTTGTCTTTTTGAGACAGGGTTTCGCTATGCAGTTCAGGCTAGCCTTGAACTCACGGGGTAGCCCAGGCTGGCCTCGAACTTGCAGTGATCCTCTTGCCTTAGCCTCCTGAGTGCTGGGATTATAGGCATGCATTACCACACCTGGCCAAGGCTTCTTTTTACTTAAAAACAGGATAGGTCAGTAGAACACTACAGGTGAAGTTGAAGTCCCACCTATACCCACTTTTAGTCCTCCAATAAAGAATCACTATTCTAGTGATATGTCTTTTTTTTTTTGAAGAAAAAAATTTAAAGCAAGAGTTGCACAGTATATACATGCTTCCCTAAACTCAGATAATTACACATTTAAAATAATTTCCGCTAATTATGAAAGTTCTGAAATAATAAAAGCATTAATTCTTCCTATAAAACTACAGTTAGAACATCAGTTTTCTATAAGCATATTAAAACATCAAGTATTTCTTGGAGTTTTGAGTTATCTCTTTAAAACACCATTGCCCTTGCATATATAGTCCTCCATTAATCAATATGAACTTTTTTTTCAAAAAGGTTTATTTTCTAGGTACTTTGTAAGATCAAGAAAACGGACCCAACAGTTATGTACTATAATTATGTCATAACAACTGAACTGCACATAATGATTTAAAGTGGGTTCAGATGAAGTTCTCGAAACACTTTGGTATGTGTATTTTAGGGACTTCTAGAAATAACAGAAATTGTAAATTCCTTCAATCCCCATTTGCATTAAAATGAATAAGTCTGGTTCAAGTTCAACATTTTGGGTCTTTATTATCAATAAAATGATCCTCAAACCAATAAATAAAGCTGTTCTATTATTAATTCACAAGATTTATTTAGCCTATTTCTGATGCAGTTGAATTGGTTGCTATAAATAAATACTCATGTACTATAATATTCACTGATAGTTTCAATCTTTCATGTAGAAGCAGAGAAATCAATACTTTTTATCATTTCTCTGAATTTTTATTATGTGATTTATGTTTCAATATATAAATTTTATGTTGTTGAGCTAACTTGCAATGTCTGTATTTATTTTTAGAGGAAAATTAACTACACTGAATTTTTTTTTTTTTGCCTATGTTAAAGACTTTTTCTTGGGATTGAGAGAGAAAATCATGAAGATAAAGTTTCAACCCTCTTCTAAGTATGCTGTGAGAAAGAGACAATGAAAAGGACTGATTTTATTTCTTTCAGAGACCTGCACCCTGAGCTAACCGGACAGTTGAAAGAACTCAGAAAGCATCTTGTAGAGAGCACCAATGAAATGGCACCTTTGAAAGTTTGGCAATTACAAGGTAATGAAAGTGTAGAGAGATCATTGGCCTACTTTTTTGATAAAGTTTTGGTATTAAAATATGGAGAATTCAAATTTAACCAGATAATTCACATGATTATGAGTACCACAGATTTTAAAGATACAATGCTAGTGGTTAATCCAAGAAGAAAAGAAACAAGTACTTTAGAAGACAAATAATGTTGGGCTGAAGTAATACAAATACATCAGTACCAGAATCTTCTCTCTGTGACCGAGTACATAAGCATGGAATACTAGAAACACATATCTAGTCTTCTGTATGCATACATTTCTTAAATGGTGTATCTGTAGGACGTTCAAGGGAGATAAGAGGTAGAATTATGTATACCTTTCTTTTCCAAAGAATGATTTATCAAAATTCTTCCACCATAATTGCTAAATGCCTTAAGCTATGTTTTGTGATATTTATTTTTTGAGACAGGATCTTGCTATGTAGTTCAGACCAGCCTTGAACTCACTATGTAGCCCAGGCTGTCCTTGAACTCAACAGCGATCCTCCTCGCTCGCAAATGCCACCATACCTGGCTGTGATGTGTTTTAAATAGAGAAGAAGAAAAAAAGGTTTGGGCTCAATTTAGCTTTTGCTAAATGTGTTAGTTTGTCTGAGTAGATCAGGAATGGCTCAGTGAATACTGTGGAGCCATGAGGTGAATGAACCTGAAACTAAACCATGAACTCTTTATGGGAATGGTTGCATGCTAAGGCCCTTTTTATTACCAAAAGCATAGTGGGAAGTAAGCCTGAATATTTTCTGCTTTTCACTGCATTGTAGTAATACCCTTCAACCTCCACTTGGCATTGTTACAGACCTCAGTTTCCAGACTGCTGCCCGAATCTTGGCTGCTCCTGCTGAGCTAGCTTTGGTGGTTATGAAGGATCTTAGTCAGAATTTTCCCACCAAAGCCAGGTAATATAAAGTTGATACATAAAGACTTTGATACATTCTTTTGCTTAACATACCCGGTTATCTTTATATTTACTTGCTAAATGATATAATTAAAATAGAAAATACTTAGAAAATGAAAGTTTTTTCACTGCTACTCATGTGCATGGTGTCCTGTTTCTGAGAAGTGGACAAGACTGCATTGGGTAGTTGAAGAGATAGAGCCAGGTGATGCTTGTGGCAGTGCCTCTTGTTAGTTGTGTAACCTGCAAATAAATCATTGCTCTACCTCTTCCCTCAGCAGTGGAATAGCAATATCTGCCTTTCAGGATTGGATGAGTTATGAATTCCAGTGTATGCTGCTATAGCTAATCAAGATTTGGCACAGGCTGTTGCTTCCTAAAGGGCTGTGTGTGTGTCATGTTACTAATTCTGCTGAAGAAACAAAGCCAGGCAGGCTAAGTGACTTATTCATAGTAATGGAGTAGGATTTTGAATTTTTTAACATTGCTCTCCATTTTATAATTTTGCATTTACATCTCATACATGCAAGGCATAATTGTTTTAGAAGCCAGATTGCTGATGTAAATCACTGCCAATCTTTTTCTGGAGTCACTGAATGAAGTGTTTTGACTTTTGATGTGGGGTGCTTTGTGAATAAATTTTTTAACCCTATGGTTTATAAGTCCTATCTAAGAGTTGTTTTTCTAATATATTACTTTTTTTTTTTTTTTTTTTGTAACGGGAATCAAACTCAGGACCTCATGCTTGCCAGGCAGGCACTGTGCCACTAAGCTAAATGCCCAGCCCTTCTCATGTATTACCTAAAGATATACAAGGAGGATTCCTCTTCTGCCATGAGTGCTTACAGGGGATGAAAAGTTTGCAGCCTTAGTTTATTTAACATTATCCTTTTGTCTTTGAGCATTAGAGATCAAACACAGTGGTAGGGTAGTATATTCAACTAAGAGCTTAGAATCAACTATACTTTAAAATACTCCTCCTTTTCTTTGGTGTTATATCTTGTAATAAGGAAAAATATGAACATCAATTGCAAAGGTTTGAGGTTTTGTCCATTCTAGTTTTTTTTGTTTTTTTTTTTTTGTTTTTCTCCGGTACCGGGAACCGAACTCACGATCTTGCACTTGCCAGGCAGGCGCTTTGCCGCTGAGCTAAATCCCCAGCCCCCCATTCTAGTTTTCTGTCGTTTATTGAACAACATGTTTCATACTTTTAAACATAGGAACATTGAAAACAATATCAAATGTTAGGCTATATTCTGATAATATTTTTATCCCATAGAGCAATAACGAAAACAGCTGTGAATTCAGAACTTAGAACTGAAGTGGAAGAGAATCAGAAGGTATTAACCAATGGAAAATAATCACTTTTTCTGCTTTTACTGTATTTTTATTTTTTTATGACTGTATTTTTAAAGATGAAGAAATCTGTGTTTAATATGTGATGTTTAGTAGTATTAATTTTTATCAAAGATGATATTATTTTGCTCATTTCTGTAATCTTTGTACTTTTAGTTTTTAATCAAAGTTAAATATGAACATAATTAAAAGCTCCACATGGTGCTTTCACATCGTTTAGAAAAGCAGCCCCCTGACATGTCTCACCTTGTGTCCCCCATCCTAAAGGTACCTACTTTCAAGTCTTAGTTTGATACTTTTCTGATAATGTTCTGATGTGCTTATGTTGATATTTTATTGCTCAATTTTAAACTTTACATCTTGGCGTTCTACTTTGAGGATGAGGTTTATCTTTTCTCTTGCTGACCTTTTAGTGGCTCACCACTGCCTCATATTGGCCCTTGTCCCATCTTTCCATCTTTCTTGTATTTTGTGTTTTTACCCAGTTTTGATCCTCTCTAATTTTGACTGGTTACTTTAGTGTATACGAGCGATTCCACAGCATTCCTTTAACCTCTTTTCATTTTGCTTTTTGTTTTGTTTTCTTCTTTTTTTTGAGTCAGGATCTCGCTATATAGTTCAGACTGTTCTTAAACTCACTATGTAGCCCAGGCTGGTCTCGAACTCACAGTGATCCTCCTGCCTCTGCCTCCTGAGTGCTGGGATTACAGGCATGTACCACCATGCCTGGCTTTAACCTCCTTTCATTTTGTTTTGTTTCTCCAGTACTAGGGATTAAACCTGGGGTCTAGGTGCTGAGCTATATCCCAGCCCTTCTTAAATTTATTTGAGACAGGGTCTCACTAAGTCATTAGTTGCCTAGACTGGGCTTAACTTGTGATCTTCCTGCCTCAGCCTCCCAAAGTGTTGGGATTCCCATGTAGGCCCAGTTTAACCTCCTTTCTTGGATTCTGTGTCTTCTTTGTTTTCAGTTTGCTCCCTTATTTTGATGCATCACATCATGCTTTGTGAGGAAAGTTGCTTGGGAGGTAGATTTGCAACTGTGACAGCAATTTCTATGTGTGTTCCATTGATGGCTTGGCTGGGTATGCAGCCCTAGGTTGAGAATCATCTAGGAGATGTGAAGGCACTGGTCCTTGGAAATTTGATTGCCTTATAGCTTTGGGGAAATCTGAAGCCTTTATATGAGATCTGTTTCTCCTGTGTGGAACCATCTAGACACTTTCATTGACTCTCCTTGTTTGAAAAGGCATATGGACGAGGCCTTCTGATGGCAAGGCGTTGAAGGTGGCCACTTCCTGGGGAACCTTGAGTGGTGCAGGTTTTCCTGCCTGGGCAGTTTCTTGGTGCCCCTTACCTGATAATGATAATGAGCAGCCAGATGCAGATGACCAGACCATACCTGAGGAAAGCCGCTGACACTGAAGACATGGAACTAAACCCAAAAGGGTGCCTCAGAGGAAAAAGACACTGCAAAGTGAAAAAAGCACAAATACCACTGATACCTTCAGAGAGGTGGGGCAGCACTGTGAAATCCAAGAGCAACAAATCTCTTGAAAGGAGAACACTGACAGCTAGCTTGGACCTGCTGGTTTACATCTGTATTCCCAGCTGTTTTGGAGCTGAGGCAAGAGGATCACTTGGGCCCAAGAATTTGAGGTTAGCCTGAACAATATAGTGAGACCCTGTATTAAATAAATAAACAAATAAACAAATAGTAATTAAATAAATAAATAGAAATAAAAGAATTTGACAGCTAGGAGAAAACTCTTAGCAAAGAGGCTGGTCAGTCTCCTGTAGGATCTGCTATTTTTCCTGAAGAGTGTAATCTTGCTGCTGGGATTATAGAAGCCCTATGGGGACGAACATGGTGACGCCCTTCCTCCAGTTTCAGTGGTGGTCCCTGCTCCCATGTTTCCTCACTTGCCAGGCCATGAGCCTCCACTTCTCTAGAGTGCTGATTCCACAAAGTGACTGAGATTTTTCCTTCCAGTTCTGCCCTCAGGCCTGCTAGGACAGTTAGCACTCACTGCTCTTCCTCTGGCTGCTGAAATTTGTTATCCTTTCTCTTCTGTTCTCTTTGCTGTGGATAGTAATAAAGAGAGTCCTTTTCTTGATATATCAGTAGAATTTCAGGAGGGCAAAAATGCTCATGTTCAATTCATTATCTTTATCCCAAATGTCCTTAATGTTTAAGTGTAAGATATTAGTTAAATACACCTTAGAAATAAACATATATTTCTCCAATTTTTACTAAATTGAATAAAACTTTATTGATAATTTATATTTTTAATTTTCAGAAAATATCAAACATTATTTTAATTTTAGAGCTTCTCTGCCGAGGAAAACAGAACACTGTTTTCTTTGAGACAGGTTCTTGCTTTGCTATGTAATCCAGGCCAGCATTAAACTCAATGCTTCTGTCTCAGACTCCTGAATACTGGGATTGCAGGCATGCACTACTATTCCTGGATAATTCCTATATCCTTACTGTGATAGATTTTTCTCAAAATGAGCCTACCTACATAGCCAGCATCCAGATCCAGGAATGATGTGATTGTATACATTTACCAGATCAGAACAGTCTGAGTGAATGTGGAATTCTTCCCTGCCATGGAAGAAAATCCAGTTCTTAATTCATGCTGCTCTTGATTATCTTCTTGTTTTAAGTTGATAAATCAATATTTGTGGTATATAGTGTGATGTTTTGAAATATATAAATATTTTGGTGTTATCCTGTAACCTTGCTTGCTGTTGAAGCAGAACCATGGCTTCCTCACTTGTTTTTCTTGTGCAATACTAGATCTTGCTTTTTTTTCTTAGTCCATGACTCCTGGAGAGTAAAGGAGCTCAGCAGGCCCAATTTTCCTTTTCTCATACCTGGATTCTTAAGGGATTATGGTCTGTTCCTGGTATCTGATTAATTTCATCTCTTCTCAAATATGTAAATAACAGTTGCTGTTTCTTTTGAAGATAGAATCTAGGAGAAAGGCAATTATTTAATAGAGCATCAATATGGAGTCATTACGATGTTTCTGTTGGCTTAGGCAGATCTCGCGCTGCATGGTCACCTCTGTACGGGACTGCCATCACCTTGGGGGGCAACAGGTGAAGACTTCCATAGAGGCCAGGTCTTACAGGGCTAGTTAGCACTGGGTACTGTCCTCAGTGTAGCAGCTCAGAAGTTTCTCGGTGTGCCTTAGTTTGAACCCTTTTTTGTTTTGTATTCCTGGACTTCATCAAGGGCTCCAGCTTTTATTGACTACTACCATAACCATCACAAACAGAGGAAGCAACCAGAGTGTAAAAAGCCCAGGGTGTATGCCCTGTTCCCTGCCACTGGCATGCAAAGGCAAGGGGAGTTCCAGAGCCTCTGCAACTCTGTAGCTAGTAGATGAGAGAAACCTACTGTGGATCCCTTCTAATAGATAGCTGACTTCTTTCTGTCTTCAATACTGTATTAAGGAGGTGAACCAGTTTCTTTGGTGGTGAGGGATTTTCTTTGTTCCTAAATCAAAAAATAAATGTCTGTTCCATTAATGTCTGGTTTAAGGTAAAAATGCTAGTTCTTTTCAGGTAGTTCTGAGAAGGATTATTGATAAAGGAAACTGAAAGAGTACAGTAACTTAATGTATATTGTGGCAGGAAGAAACTTGGTATATTTTTAAATTAAATAGAAACAAAAGTTCTATTTTATTCACATTTCCTTTTTTGAAAAGTGACCCTTGGCCCTTGGCTTATCCACCCACCTCTGATATTACAGGAAACAAGTGTGCAGGAGGGAAGGAGAGGTGGGAAAAGAGGTACATATCCTATAAATTGGCAGATTGATACAGTGTAGTAAATGCTAAGAAGGGTCTGGGGAGTATGTAGAAAAACATCTTCACCCAGCTGTAGAAAGTCAAGATTTGTATGGATGATAAAGCCCAGAAACACTAAGTTTTGTTGGATGTTCTCTTAGTGCTTCCTAATAATTTCTAATTTCTAAAAATTTTTTCAGTATTTCAAGGGAACTTTAGGATTACAACCTGGAGATTCAGCTCTCTTCATCAATGGACTTCATATTGATTTAGATACACAGGATATATTCAGGTATGGGTTTTTACTCTGTTTGTAAGTTTTTATAATAGCACATGACACATGAGGTGAAGGCTGATGGCTTCCCAGGCCTCACTCTGTGTGTGGAAATGGACCCATGCCGTGCCTCAGTGAGTGGGTGGAATCATCCATAGCCATTTTGTATTGCAGTGTGTTCTCAAAGCCAGAGAGCTTTTCAAGGGTGTGCCCTTTTACAGCTGTAGTGTTCCTGTTAACTGGAGAAACAGAAAAGAGCAGGTTCTTCTGCTTTTGGAGTATGAAGGAGGTTTATTCAGAAAGCTGTCCCTGATGTTTCAGCAGGCATTATTATTTGAATACCTATTTTTTGTTCTTTAAATGTAGTTCAAGACTAGCACTGAATTGTCTTTATGATTGGGGGATAAATGGGCAGACAGAATTTCAGATTTTTTTTTTTTGAGGTTTTGAGAGTCTTGCTATGTAGCCCAGCCTGGCCTTGAACTCAGGGTAATCCTCCTGCCTCAGCCTCCCAAGTGCTGGGGTTACAGTGTGAACCACTATGCCCAGTTTAGAATTCAGATTTTATCCTTGGATTTAAAATCAATATGATTGACACTGAGATTTCACAGTAGTAAGAATAATACTCTTGCTAATACTCTTGCTAATACTTCAGACGTAGTTGCCACTAATATACTTTCACCTTATTTTTGTTACAGTTTTGTGCTCATTTATTGGATTATAAGTAGGCCATCCTCCTTCTTGTCTTTCTTGTTTCCTCAGCCATTTTCCCATACTTTTCTCCGTGGAACTATCTGTGTACCTAGTCAGTTGATGCTGATATTGAAACATACATTAAACATAAAAACGTATTTTTTTTTTTTGAGACAGGGTCTCACTATGCAGTTCAGACTGGCCTTGAGCTCACTTTGTAGCCAAGGCTGGTCTTGAACTCGAAACAATCCTCCTGCCTCAGCCCCCCAAGTGCTAGGATTACAGGCGTGTGCCACCATGCCTGGCTAAAAAAGTATTTCTTTTTTATGTGTTTTTAAACTTTAGTTTGAGATAATTATAGATTCACTTGCAGTTGTAAGAAATGCTACAGTGATAGAACTTGCCTGTAGTCTCATAATCTCATCATTCTGGAAGGCCGACACAGGAAAATCTTAAATTTGGCCCAGCCTGGTGAATTTAGCAACTTAGACACTGCAAAAATAGAAAGGGCCAAAGATGTAGCTCAGTGTGAAGGTCCTGAATTCAGTCCATACTGCAGAGAGAAAGAAAAAGAGTCCATAAATTTATGCTTTTAAAAACATCACAGTTAATCTTTTTATTTCCTCCCTCCCCATCTCCTTTCCCCTTCTTCCTCCTCCTCTTCCCTATCTATAACTGAAAAGTATAAACAAATAGGGATCCGCAGCATGCCTTTTGTGTTGTGTACCTTGATAAGATGAAACAACATTTCCTATTTTGCTTTCTTGGTTAGTCTAACTTGGCATTGAGTTTGAACAAACAGTGTTTTTCACGGGAAGAATTTTTTTAAAGTTTTTTTCTAGTGTCTACCTGTTACTGTTTTTTATTCCCAGTCTGTTCGATGTATTGAGGAATGAAGCCCGGGTCATGGAGGGCCTTTATAGACTGGGAATAGAAGGCCTTTCTCTACATAATATTTTGAAGCTGAACATCCAGCCCTCTGAGGCTGACTATGCCATTGACATCAGGAGTCCAGCTATTTCAGTGAGTATTTTGGAGGGTTGTTCACAGGGCATTCTTGCCAGACATCTTTATTATAGCTCTCTAATTTGTCTTTTATGAGAGTTATTTCCTCCATCTCTTTTGTTGCCATCAAAGATTGCTAACTGCTTGTGTGGGACTGTATTTAATAAAGTAGTCTCTGAAATGCTCCCAAAAGTTGTTTGGCTACTGTGGTTAAGACAGTAGTTTTTCCTCTGCCATAAGATTCAGCTGAGGGCCTCTTAGGAAGGAGTGTTTAGTGTTTTCCCAGTTACATACAGGTCTTGGATGATTTTGTGACATTTTTTATTTAAGCTTGCTATTAAAAATAGGAGTTTTTATTTTTATTTATTTTTTTGGTTTTTCTCCGGTACCAGGAACCAAACTCACGACCTTGCGCTTGCCAGGCAAGCGCTTTTGCCGCTGAGCTAAATCCCCAGCCCAGGAGTTTTTAGATAATAACATTTTTAAATAAGACTTTAGTTATTAGCTGCTATATGAGCTCTCTGAGCCCCGCACCCCTTTTGGGAAGAGTTCTAAGTGTTCTACATGATTCTTTTTGAACCTTGTTTATCTGTAAAATAGAATGTGGTTACAGTGTCATTGTGGATGGTCATGGTAAAATGAGAACAGGATAGAGCTGATGGGGCTAGCAAACCTTAAGTACCCATGACTTTATGGAGGGATATATAATGTAGAATATAGGTGATCATTACTGGAGTTCTCACTTTGTGTATTTTGATGAACACTATTAAGTCATTTGTTTTTCTATTAAAAATGGTTTTGCTTTAAAGAGTAAAGACAACAGCATAAATACGACATTAGTTAGTGTAAATTGATTAAAAACCATGTGACCCATCACCATACTTTCTAAATACTGTTTTATCTCAGATTTCTTGACATTTTCTGACAGTAACTTTGCATTGGTTTTGTTTGCTAGCGTTTGCTTCACCTGTTCTCTGGTGTGTGTTGTAGTCATTTAGTTTCCTAATCAGTCACTGTACTTTTGGAAATGGTCTTGTGTCTTATGCATCTTCATAAGATAATTTACTGTTGCAGCTTTTACCACAGATTTCAGTGAGTGTGACCCAGGTATGTGCATCACAATGTGTTCTTTCTTTTCAGTGGGTCAACAACCTGGAAGTTGACAGCAGGTACAACTCGTGGCCTTCCAGTCTACAGGACCTGCTTCGCCCCACCTTCCCTGGCGTCATCAGGCAGATCAGAAAGAACTTGCACAACATGGTGAGTGAGCGCCTCCATGGCCACCCAGGAACCTTGCTCTCCCTTGCTCTCTCCCAACCTGTGTTGTATGTGCAGTGTTCAGTTCTCCCCTTTATTAGCTGCTTCCCCTGCTCACTGCTACCCACAAAGTGTTCCCTGTTGGCCCAGGGGTACCTGAGAAATGAAAATAGAAAAAGACAATAAGGCAGTCTTCATTTTCCAAGGTGAGTGAGTTGATGAAACTTTTTTTGTTTGGTATAGTAGAAGGATGGGTGTCAGGAATCTGGAATGCTGTTTCCATGTTACCACCTAAATCCATGAGAAAAATCACCTTGCCTTCTACTAACACATTCTGTGAACACAGAGGGAGATAGCTGCCGTTTGTATAGTTCCTCTTTTACGTGTTTCAAGACAGAAAAAGTTGGCTTCATGTACAGTGCTTAATGGCAATTTCTGTTGGCCTAGGGACATTTGAATAAATGTCATTTCATGGGTTCATTTCTCTTTCTCCCCATAGGTATTCATAGTTGATCCTACACATGAGAATACAGCAGAGTTGATTAACACAGCTGAGATGTTCCTCAGTAATCATATACCTCTAAGGTAACACTGGTATTGATTTGATGATACAGCTAATTTAGCTGAGGTTTTGTTTGTTATTCTGAAGTATAAGGTTGGGGCTCCAGAATTGCAGTATAATTAATAGTACAGACCATTAATGGAAGTTTTATTTTCTGCGTGGTATAAAGCCAGTGTCTTTTGAGACTGAGAGTTTATTCTCAATGGGTAGAGGCATACCACCATTGAATTATTAATAAAAATTGCGTAAAAGTAGTTTGTGGTCTCAGTTTTCTTCTCAGTGGAAGAGAATTTTCGTAGATGAATGTTCACATTACAAAGCCCGTTTCCACTTTCAGCAGTGATACATAGCTTTGTCAGTAACTGTAGTTAGATGTCAAGAACTAGATTTACATAGTTTATGCTTTAGTTCTCTTGTCAAATCTACTAAGAGAACATAATTCACTGGGTTTCTACTATTCTTTCAATAACAGTTTTCTTAAGGTATTTCTGTAAGTGTTAAGATAATTTTGCTTACATTCTCAAGTAATTCTAGTAATTTTACATTGATGAATTTGGAATTTTTAGAAATTAGAAAAAAATTCTTTGGCCAACAAATGTTACTGTGTGTTCCATGTCCATACTGAGCTAAAGGCTATGGATGTTATATAAGCTATGTTCCTACCTTGTTGGGAGGAGTCTTATGCTTGCTTTTAAACAATTTAAGAAGATGTTTGATCAGGAGGCTGAGGCAGGTGGGTCAGAAGTTTGAGCCTAGCTTGAGCCACTTTGCAATTTAGCTAGTGTCTCAAAATAAAAGAAATAAAAAGGATTAGAGGTGTAGCTCAGTGAGAGGTCCCTAGGTTCAGTCTCTAATACTGGAAGAAAAAGAGATGTTTGACCAAGTATTGATTATGTCCAGCTAACTGTAAGTGCTTTAGAATTCAGGGAGATAAAGTATAAACCGAGAGGACTGGGCGTGGCAGTGCACACCTGTTATCTGAGCACGTGGAGGCTAAAGCAGGAGGATAGGAGGATTGGTATGAGTTTGAGGCCAGCGTGGGATACATAGTTTAAGGTCAGCCTGAACTACATGTTGATACCCGTGTCTCAAAAAACAAACAACAAAAAAAGAAACCAAACCCTGTAATTATATACTGAGATAGTCTAGAAGCACAGCTTCCGTGAAGTTGGATTTCAGAGAGGCTTTGAATAAAATAGAAGGTTTTGATGCTGGAAAAGCAGAAATTTTGAGTTCAGTGAAATTTTTTTCATGTAAAGCATGAATGTCACCTAACCAGGTAGAAAAGTAAATTACTGAGCTATGTTTAGAACTGTGTTTTCATTAAAGGAGGTATCTATGAGCACAAAAATCAGCACACATTAGAGAGTGAGTAAGAATGAAATTTGGATTTACTGATACTGAGGGACAAGAAGAGTGCCTGTGATTTTAGGCTGCACTGGAGCCCTAGGCCACAGAGAAGCTTGCTGTGAGCAGCTGCGCAGCTGTGTTGCACTAGCTGTCAGCAGGGAGGGACTCCCCAGTGGCACCTGGCAGAGAGACCCTGGGAGACAGATGCCTGAAAGTTCTGGCTTAGCCTTGGCTATGGCTTTTTGCTGTAGGCCAAGTATTTTTTTTTTTTTTTTTTTTTGCTTTCCTATGACCTATAATTCTTAATGTAGATGTTAAGACACAATTCCTTGTTTTCTGTTTATTTTTACAGTCTGAATATTTTAATTTCCCTTAATATATATTTAAAGGCAGAACAAAACTCTTAAGAGAAGACTCTGATGCTCTTTCCAAAAATTAGAAACTTAGGGCGGAGGAATTAGTTTGTGAGAAGGTAATATTGTTCCAATGATTTAATTAGGTGTTAACCCATGTTTGTTTACATAAGAATATTTAGACTTCTTTTTCTAATAATTATTGTTTGAAATGGGGTTTTAAAAAATAAAGACAATTTTAATTCAAATATAAATCCTCACTTCACCTCCATCCACATACATGCACACCTCACCAGAACCATCCAATATTAACAATGTGATGTTTGATATATGTGTTTATATTTTCTTTGTTTAAATTAGTAGACTATATTTTTAGAGCCGTTTGATTCACTTAGATTGATACATGATTATTAACTAAGTTCCATAGTGTACATTAGGGTGCATTGATGGTGGTGCACATGCTGTGGGTTTTGACAGATGTATAAGGTCAAGTATGTCCATATTACAGAATCGTGCAGATTAAATTCACTGCCCTCAGGAGTCCCCTGTGCCATACCTGTCTGTTCTGCCTTCCTCCATTAGCCCTAATCCCTTGGCAACAAGTGATTTTTTTTTTTTTTTGGTTTTTCTCTGGTACCGGGAACCGAACTCACGACCTTGCGCTTGCCAGGCAGGCGCTTTGCCGCTGAGCTAAATCCCCAGCCCAACAAGTGATTTTTTTAAAAACTGTCTTTATAGGTCTGCCTTTTCCAGAATATCACAGATGCAGTGATATAGTATGTAACTTTTTCAGACCGAATTTTTTCACTTACCAATGTAGATTTAAGGTTTTTCCATGTCTTTTTGTGGCTTGATAACCTAACTTTCTTTTTATTACTGAATAATATTCCATTATAGGGATATACCACAGTTTATCCTTTTACCTGTTGAAAGACATCTGGTTGCTTTCAAATTTGGGCAGTTATGAATAAAGCTTCTTAAACATATGTGTGCAGGTTTTTATGTGGATGTAAGCTTTTCAGTTCTATTGGGTATATACCAAGGAGCCAGACTGCTGGATTGTGTGATAACTGATGCTTAGTTTTATCAGAAAATCATACTGTCTTTTAAAGGGACCAGGCTATTTTGCTTTTCCACTACCAATACAAGAGAGTTCCTATAATTTCCACATCCTCATCAGCTTTTGATGTGCAGCAGAACACCAGTAGTGTTCTGGTATCTTGCCATTTTAATAGATAGTACCAATATGTCATTGTTGTTTTCATTTACAATTCCATAATAGTATAGGATGTTGAGCTTCTTTTTATATGCTTATTTAACATGTGTATGTTTTACTTGGTGAAGTGCCTGATTGGATCTTCAGCCTATGTTAAAGTTTGCTTGTTTTGGGGCTGGGGATTTAGCTCAGCGGCAAAAGCGCCTGCCTGGCATGTGCAAGGTCGTGAGTTCGGTTCCCGGTACTGGAGAAAAACAAAAACAAAAAAAAAAAAAAAAAAGTTTGCTTGTTTTCTTAATATTATGTTTATGTTTTGGCTACCAGTACTTTTGGGTATTTTGCAAAGAATTTCTGCCAGTCTGTAGCTTTTCCTTTTGTTCTCTCTTTTTTTTATTTTATTTTAAAAATAAAAGGAGGAAAACATTAACAGACAGACAACCCTTTACAAAATAGCAAAAGAATAGTACAAATAATACAGAATTACAAACAAAGTGGTAGGAAATTAACAATGCTTGTTGTATTACATATTGATATATTCAAAGTGATTTCTCATGAAAACAAATAGAGACATGTAATATTGATCAATCAAGGACTCATTAAAAGTTTCTTTCAGCAAAGAAATAGAAGACAGTAGATCAACTATGTTAACTATCCTGAACATACATACATACAAAATTTCACCTTCTTTCCATTCTCTTGTCCCACATTCCAGTTGCCCTTTACCCTTGAGCATTTTCCTATCATTTCACAATGTCTATCATACCTCTGAGTTTATATTAACTCTTTCAGGTTTTACACTAGTGAGACAATGCAGTGCTTGCACATACAGGTATGATTTATTTCACTTACGGTAAGATCTCTAGTTGTGACCATTTCCCTATAAAAGCCTCGAGTTTATCTTTCTTTATA